TATTCTAGGAAAATTAGGATTTTTTTGAAAAAATTCTAATTTAAAGAAGATTGAATATAATTTAATATTAATATAAATAATTAATATTATTGATATTTTAAATTTTATAAAAATAAAAATTATTAAAAAATATTCTATAAAAATAAAAAAAATTACAACATTATATTTTTATTATCTATAAAACTCTAAGATTGTATTTACAATCTATGTGTACTTAAGAATCTTCTATTTAACATTTACATTCAATATTCTATGTATATTTTAATTATTAAAATTTAATTTTTTATAAATTGACCTTTGAATTTATAATTCTTGCAGATGCTTTTAAATATAATTAATATTAAAGAAAAAAATTATATTTAAAACATATATGATGAATTTTATAAAATAATACGATTTATTAATCTAAAATTTTGTATTTAAAACTTTTAGCTATTATAAAAAATCCTTTAAAAATTTGCATATATTTTATGCTTATTTCTAATTTAATTACATACTATTGAAATTAGGAATGTCATCTTTTAAGTTGTGAATTTCTTCTATCAATGATTTTTTTAATATAATTGTAACTATTTTTTAATTTGAATTCTAAAATTAATGTGTTTAGTAAAAAAAGCTTCTATAAATATACAAATAAAAATAACTGTGCTCATAAATGTTTATTCTTGTATTTTTAGATGTATCATCAATCTATACATGAAATATTTCTTATCATGACTAGTCTCATGTTGATTCCTTAACACTTCAATTGTTCATAACATTAGACAGAATTTTTATATGGTTGCTTACTTAGCACTTTTGTTCTTTTGTTGCCAGCCTTGTGTATGCAATGAAATTTTATTGCATCGATTGAACTCAAGACACCTTATCTGTAAAGCTCCTTATTCCACCTTGCACTTGTAAATTTTGTCTAAACTTTGTCCTTGCAATTAAATCTTGATAGAAAATTCACTATTTTAGTTTGAATTAAAATCCCTTGGTGCCACTTAGTCTATACAACTTTTCTTATACCAAATAAATTCAACCAAAAGGCTCAATACTGATTTGTACTGTTCCACTTATTTAAATTTTGTATATCAACCTCACACCTGAATTTCAGTTTTTAAATATACATATAAATGAAAATGCTTCATGAAATGAATCATATTAATATTAAAAAATATTTTTAAAACACTTGAAAATCTTATGAGGAGAATTTCATCTTTTGGTGATATATATATATATATATATATATATATATATATATAAAATGTAATATTTCGATTTGTAACTTATATATATTTTGCACTACTATCTTGAACTAAAATGCAAGACATTTGGTAATGGGTACACACAATTCTGTTGTATGTTTTTCCTAATTATTTTTTAATAAAATAAATCAAAATTTGAAAATTGAGAAGAAAAAAAAAAAAAAAAAAAAAAATGAATAAGAATCCATATTGTTTCCCCTTAATGACATGAGAGAATGGTAACAATCTGAGATCCCAAACCCCGTCAAATTAAGATCGCGGGCTGAGTGTTGTGACCTGGATACGCAACCCGTCCAGCGCCCACTGAGCTTGTGCCAAGCCCATCGGATAGGCACATCGCCACGTGGAAAAGCCCCGTTCCCACCTGGGAGGCTCGCCACAGCCGCGTGGAAAGCCCACCTCGGTGCTTTTCGGGCTTCTTCGCCTGCTCGTCTCACTTCACGCAATCGATCGCAGCTGTGGATTTCCATCGTCGATCGAGCAGCCTCCTCTTATCTCTCCACCGAACTGAAACCTATTCCGAAAACATGCGTCTCGGCGGCCTCCTATTTCTTATTGCAGCTCACAATCCGACCTCGGGAGCGACCTGTGATTGTGATTTAGTTGCCGTTTTTTGGCCATTGCTTGGTGATATTATATTTGTTTCTTTTCGGAGCAGGTATTGAATTTGAGAGAGAAATTTGGCGGATGCTTTGCGACGTAGAGTGCAGTGGACGGTGTAGCCCGCAATTTGACCGGAGCGGGTTAGCTTCGGTGAGGTGAGTTTTCGAAAGGCAAGCGGGATTGGTTTGGTGTGTGTGTGTATTTGAGCGGGTGCGGAGGATAGTCTGCGTCGAGTGTGTTTGTATAAGTATGGCGAGCTTAGGTACTGCACCCGGTACTTTGACGATGCGGTTTGGATGTGATGCGTTTACATCATGTCGAGGGCCATACATCATTCCCATCAGGTCGTCACCTCCAAGCAAGTTGTTCCGTGTTTCGGCAGAAGCACAAAGAGGTTCACAAGGACGGATGACGAAGAAGAATAACGCTTTGGATGTGAATGCGGCCTCCCGGAATGCATCCCTACATGATACGGAGGTTGGATCCTCTAATGTCGGATCCTCAGATGAGGAAGTGGAGAAGGAGAAAGAGAAGACGGCTCAGATTCCGTTGCACCAGCTTTTGCTGCAGAGGTTGAATTTAAACAAAGCAATGGACGAACTAGTAGGATTTATGGCTCCGAGAGAGAAGGGTGACATTAGGGATGTTTTCCTCATGAGCTTGTCCTTCGCCGTCCTGGTGTACATCTCACAGCGCCTCGTGTGTCTGTATTGTGTAGTCCGGCACATGTCAGTTCACAACTTCTAGAGATTCTTTTGCCCCTTTGCATTAGTTTTAAGCTAGGTATTTCTTCAGCCATTTGATGTAGACATTGTGTTGATTGCCTCAAATTTGTACAATTTTGTATCCATAATGGACGCGTAACTATCAAGTGTATATAGTTTTTCATTTCAGATGTCGTCACACCGAATGCTTCTGGGATACAATCTGGATATTTACAACCAAGTGTTATTAGAAATTGGTGTCTGAGTTGAGGAAATAGAATTGCAAATGCATTGTTTCTATCAGGAATATGGGAAGTACAATGATGTAGACACTCAATTATATTTGTGAGCTTCCTAGGTTGCCGACATCGTTCGACTTTGTCTTTGCAGGTAAACGAAAATTATTCGCTATTGACATTTACGTCAACAATGAATTATATTTATGTTTTCACGGTGTAACAAGTATTTGTGGAACAATGTATGGGACTTATACATCTGATTTTTTGATAAGTGTGACAGGGAAGCATATTTCGAACCAAAGAAAATTTCAATTCAAGGAGGGTTCCTCTGCACTGATACGTCAAGGGCGACGAGTATTTGATAAGTCCAGACTGATATATGCACAGCGAGACTTGAGGGAAAGATACGAAACTACAAAGCACAAACTGCAACTTGAGATTTTACTGCCAGTCTGTGAGAAGAAAGACAGCGGTTCGTATCTTTGCTTATGGCATCAATATGGTTACATTATAGTGCAGTGAAACGCATCACATCATTCGAAACACGACTCTAAACGAACGAAATGGTTGTGCTCGAGCAACGGGAAGTTTCCGTCCAGGCATCGAGATTAAATTCGAGCACCCTTCTATGTATGCTCGGATGTGCACTCTCAGTACTCACCAGACCACAAACATGCGGAGAACCTGGACGATTGGAATCATCTTCAGTACATGCTATGCCACATTCTGTTTGCTCCTGATCCATTTTGATTCTGAAATGTTGGTAGCGATCAAGCTAAAGAATTTCACCATCGCAAAAGTCGCCATCTGTTGAACAAACCACCTGATTTGATGATATGCGTCCATAAAGCTGAAAACAAAAACTTTAAAATACGATTCTCGGTCAAAAAGAGTAAAAAATCTATACAGACGCCGCATCAAATCCACCAATGCCTTGGACTATAAGTGAGGTTCTCCGAATTCTTAGATGACTGAACTGTATCAGGTAAGTGAATCTGTGGCGTTTGTGACTTGCGTCAGTTATCCCAGTTTAGCAGGATTGGTTGCAACGTTGCCAAGGCACACACCGAGCCAACGAATTACGGAGGCTAAAACTAAGTTGTTGACGTCAGAGTTGTGATTCACAACAGCTGATTACGGTGCATTGTGATCTCGGGTGCACTTCATTGGTGCCGTCTTTCGATTCAAATGAGGGAGCTTCAAACGGGTGAAACTCCGGGGTGTTTCTTTTTGGTCCTCTCGAAGATGCCAACCATTTCTTCAACACTGTTTGGCACAAACTGCTCATCGCCATGTCTGGTCATGGAAACCAGCTTCATAATTGTTTCGACTAATTACGGAGTAACCGATTTATTGTACTTCGGTGCCATCCCCTGACAATGAGACCTCTCTCACGAAATACTTTCCATCCGACGCACTGGATAGTTATCAGGCACTCAAATTTTCAGATTCAAAGAAATCATCTGCATCAGCAATTAATCCTGCAGCTAGTCTTCGGCATGTGGGAGCATTCGACATTGACTTGGAACAGCCTTGTCCTTTCAAAATGTACATGTTTTCCCATGTTGGAAATGGCCATGTTGCCGAAGTAAGAGGTGATGCTACAAACATTTGGAAAGCTCTGCAAATAGAATAACTATTGACAGGGTCAAAGAAAAAATTACTTCCAGAGTCGAATCTTCTACCTAGCACTCGTTCTACCTGATACCAAAGGAATCAAAGGCAACCCACTTTTCAAACTTCTGCAGACTAAATTGTTAACTTCTAATAGCTTGATATCCTCACTGTTCCTGAGATAAGTTTATTACTAGAAAGCCCAGACCGCTATCAGTTTAGCTGGTTTTGAAGACTACCATTCCTGAAGTCTAGATTGCAGCACAAATGCAAACAATCTACTCATATCAGGCTCTCAGAGATGATGCTTACAAGATAAATACGAATACTCAGTGTTCTCGTCCATGATTACCATGAAAGTTGCCACAATACAATGCTTTTATAACTTCGTAATCTGGTTTTTATCATGGTACGCAGGTGCTTTTTCCTACGTCGTATCACAGCACCGCAAGCTTTCCGGTGATAGGATCCTGAGAGTAGATGATCCTGACAGACTCAGACAGGATAAGCTAAATCACATGTCCAGTTCAAAATTTTCTACATCTTCAAAACCTCCCAACAAGTAGGCGACATACAGACGAGATAGCATGTCCTGCATTCACTTGAAATTGCACATTTAGTGATATGAACAAAATTAAGAGTGACGATAGGATGTCTGTACCAGCGACTTTTTACTAAAAAATCAGGAGATGGTGGTCCTCGTGAGGACACTCAAGTTTTCAGGTAGAATGAGGTTGAACTTAAGCTAAGCAACATTCACGTGTCTCGGTATAATGGTGAGATCCCATTTGTATCCTAAAACACAGGTATTCTTCGTTCTAGACTCTATGCACTAGTTTGTCTTTGTTTCAAGGGGTTCCTAGGTATGTCAACTAGGGATTCGAAATGAATGGATTCCTGAAATACGAAGCAGATAGTCTAATGCCTCTGATTTGATAAAATCGTTTCCTCCTTGCTAGATGCCAAATGCTAGTCGAAAATAGAGGATACTCAACCACAGCCACTCAGACTGAGAGACGACCACACAGTTTCCACCTAAGTTCTGGATGTGAAATTTGTCTTTCAAAGACCCAGATATCTTCCACCGTAAGCTGTAAAAAGCACCCACCCCTTCATAAATGAGTACGAAAGTGTTCATATAGCCTCTCGTATTGAATTGAGAACAGTGACCTGGAATTCTGACAAAAGAATCAACCAGAAAGCTTGTTCAGCAGCTCAAATCACAAGATCTTTTAAATAAGACTGACCTCTTTCTCAGGGTCCCCAGCAACAAGTTTCCCTTGCTTGTCATATGCTGCGAATCTCTGCAAAATCACAAAAATCCGATTCGTCAATTTTCAATGGCTCAACATAATTGCGAAAACACACACACACACACACACATTATATATATATATATATATATATATATATATATATATATATATATATATATAGAATGCAATTCTTAATCAGTACATTAGATAATACAATATGTGGGAAATAGCAGCATAATACCTGAGTACTAACAATCCGAAGGGTAAGCTGGGCAAACGCTGTGTCCATATTCTTCTGATCAATTCCTATCTGTAAGACGAATTCGGTTGATTAGACCAAATGGTATGGTTTGGTGACAACAGAAAATTAAGGTAAGAAGATGGCCGAAAGCACCCACCAAACGGCCCTGCAGTGTCCGAATCGACTTAAGCGGACCCACAAGCTCCCAGTGAACTCGTGCCCAAGCTAGCTCCCTGTGCTTCAGCTCTTTCTTCATTGCCTAGCAAACGTACAATTGCAGGCTATGCTAAGTTCTAGACATTCGAAAGTGGGAAAATATACCTTAGTTAAGCATATGAGATTTATTATTTACAAAGATATACAAGATAACTCCATTGCTGAAGTATCATCCCTTCCAGATCGAATTGGAAAAACTCCAATCTGTAGTTATTATGTGAGCCGTAAGCGTAGTTCAACATCTGATGAGAGTTTAATGTGTACCGTCAAGACATTGTCAGTAACAAGCTGCCGTAGAGCAGTACGGTCCCCAGCTGCTAAGGCATTATTGATCTGCATAATAAGATTAGAACCGAAGTCAAAAACATAAGGTCAGTGATAAGAAAGAGCTTCCAGTCGTGAGTGATCTCTGCTTGAATTCAGGTGCAATATAAAAGTCAACTTATGGATACATATGGAATAATGAAACTAAGGCAAGAAACTTGCTTCTTTGTAAAGATCCGTAGCATCTCGATAAAACTTGGTTTGTGAGTAGCCTTTTGTCTTCTGTCGTATTTTCGCTAATGTAAAGCCTGTCTTCAACTATCATAATGGAAAAAGCCAAACATAATGTGTGAGAAACCATTCTTCAAGTCATCCAGATGGTGCTAATCCAAGGACCAGGCTGAAGTTCACTTATACACTATCAGGCATTTGGGGAAGCAATACATGTGTTTAACCAGTTCTTTTTACTAATGAGGGGCCTACAATTGCGGTGAAATTAACCTGTCAAACTCGGAGATAGAAAATGGAAAAAATATAAGGTCCTTGATATACATACCATGCCTTGAATATTCTGCTTCCTAATCTTCCATCCCTCTTTTGTAAACCATCTGACACCGAAATCACGGAGCACAGAGTAAACGCATGCACTTACAAGACCAAAAACAATTTATAAAAATTAAGAGGTCATTCCAGGCAGTAGAGGCAGGAGGATTTGGAATGGATTAGTGAACAGTACAAAGTGAGCCGGGACAGACCGTTTTAAGAAAGGAAGAGGTGGAGGAAGAGGTTTCCATGGTTCTCCTATGACCCCGGGACTGCCCATGTAAACGCGTAGTTTCATCTGAACCATGGTAGAAATACAAATCGTAATCGAAGTTTAAAAAAGAATACTTCATAGCTGACGCAAAATATCTACCTCTGGACTACAAACCATTGCTTTTCTCTTTGGTAAAAGGTCCAAAAGGAAAAGAAAAGATTAAAGAAGAAGAGAGACGACCATAGATATAGGAACAGAATCACTATTAAAGCATGTCCACGTAATAACAGTACTAGGAGAACAGTAAAGCTATAAATTCCATGAAATGAAAGAGAGAAATATCTAGGGACCCCCTTACTGGCTTCTGCATGTGAGGCATAAGAACAGTTTTTGCAAATCCACGGTCACCCCTTACAGAGCTTCTTTGGATTGGAATCTGCTCTTCACGTCAACACAAGTGATTAGCAGGCTGACCAAGAACCAAGAATATCCTAGGTGCAAGAAGGTTCAGAGACAAAGTCTGAACTACACTTTAGGCAAAAAGAATGCAGATAACAACGATTCTAAAGCACGCATCGAGCAAAATGCAGGAGAAGAAAACTACTGTACCAGAGTTTGCGGCTGACGAAATCCTAAACCATGTCCTGGACTCGCACCCTGAAGAGCTGCAGTTCAATGAACCGCAACTTCATGTGAGTGCGAGGATTCTACGAGGATATAACAAACGAAATTCAGCCCTTACCGTATATGTAAAGAGATGCCCCTGGTGAGCAGTATCGACTATGAACTTGACATTATCAGTATAACAACAAATGCTCAACTAGTGACGCAACTCAATGTTATGCATATTGAGGAACACGTAAAAGAACGCCGCACGGAATTGTACAAAAGGTAACCTACTTGAAGCCCTTGAATAACTATTCAGATGAAATAATTTCGGTGTTGCGAGGTCAAGTGCGATAAATAGAGAAGATTGCAGAGACACAATTTGAAGAGAAATACAGCAATTTCGGTTGCAATTTTAAATTTTTGTGTCCTCAAGATAAACAAGCTAGAAATGCCCAGTCAGAGTTGTATGATCGTTAAAACTAAAAGTATTTAAAGTAAATGCGTTTTATGAAAACCCGCGCTTTAGGTAAAACTTAATATCTAAATGAAATGTGTGTGTTAGGTATTCGAAAAAAATTGAAAGAATTTAAGTGTTAAAAAGACTAGAATATAATGCATTACATCCTCAACTTCTTAGAGGAACTAATTCAACAGTAATAGCTCAAGGTATATCTCATCTACTATTGATATAACAAGAATCCCCTTCCTGAATCCAAAAACAATTCTTGTTCACAAAGTTATATGTAATGCTTGGAGCCCAATTTCCAGTACTCAAAAATGATGAGGGATAATCAAGGTATAGATGAAGAAGAAAATAATAATCTAGACTATCTTTAGGGTGCACTTAGAAAATTTTGGAGCAAATAACTCACAAAGTCATGCATTTACGAAGATCGCCTAGAAACATTAGACACATTTGAAAACTTGGCATGTACAATAATCACATCAAACAAGAATTATGAGGGAGAAACTAATTCAGTTGGTGTAATATCTTAGCGCTCATACTATTCCTCTAGTCATAGCCAGTCAGCGAAAAAATCATGCGTGAAAACCTCTTGAAAACAGTCATACTCAGCTGAAAAGGGCACCGATTACCTGTGGGAAACAAGGATGAAGGTGCACTAGAACTTGTCGAGTAGCTCCGAGAAAAACATCCTGGCGAATTATGCCCAGAGTACCACACGCCATTCTTTGCTCCGAAATTCCCAGACTTGCAGAGCTCCAGCCGCTCCTCACACTTCAACGAGGCGTCAACAGAGGCATCAACAGGCCACAACACAAGCTGCGCGGGCCTGCCCATCGCAAAACCTCGGCCAGAACTCAACAACGACTGTACCAAATTCGAATTGGGTGTCCCATTCCAACGAGCTCCACGAAACCCACCTATCTCCGCGATCGCATGAGAAGCTGTTCCAGACGATAGACCCAATTTCGACCCGAAAATCCTCGCCTGACGCACAACATGCCCCATTGCGTCCCCCTCAACGGGCCCTTTCCTCAGACTCGGGTTGAAAACCTCTCAATGCTGTACTCCGATGACGACCCAACTAATTCGTGGCGTCGATGTAGTGTGTTAATCAGCTAGATCACAGAACAAGCTACCTAAATCGGCAAAACTGGGGTCTAATTCTGCAAAGGTGACAGAGCGACACTGACTCGGATTGCGAGTGAAGGCCTCGATTGCGATCACCCTCGACAGGTTTAGGGTTTAAGCTTGCCTGCGTACACGTCCGTGAATTGGATGAAAGTCATCGATATTCATATCTGTTTGAAGTGTGGATGGATGATGTAAATGTTGTTTCATGTTTAATTAATATGTACTTGTGTGTGTGTGTTTATTTTTGGTTGTAAATTTAGATGAAGTAGTATTAAATAATATACTTTCTAATTTAAACTTTGTAAGTATTTGGTATGTATAATAAAATAAAATATATTCAAGAACATATGATTACTATAATTATGAATAATACTTTTTTTGAAAAAGAATTGTTGATTTTTTATTCATTCATTTAATCATTCTTACAAATTATTTCATAACATCAAATTGATTTACAAATATAATAAAAGAGATTTATTCTTTGGATTGATTTCTAATTAGTTAGAGAAAGAATGTACGCATCTAAATATCTAATATGCTAAAGATGAAGATAGAATCTAAAGTCACTAGTTTCACAACCAAATAATTAGTTAGTTATCATTTATAACTACTTGAACTATCAAATTACTTTGAAAAATTCTAAAAATCTATTATATTGCTTTATATATTTATATTTTAAAAATTAGCATGTCATATAGGATTTAACTTATCCATACAAAAAAGCTTCCATATTATATAGTTTTAAGTTTAATTAAACTTTTATCAACTTGTACAAATATAATCTTATATGTTATGAAACTAGACAAAATATTTTTTTTAGCCTATTAATCTTTATACATTTTATAATTAAATAAAAAAGCTTTATCAAGGACAAAAACTCAAAGACTGAAAATAAATAAGTAAGGTGTGTCTTAAAGATAAATGACAAAAAAGAAATAAGAAAGTACATATATTCAAGGAAAAACTAGAATGACTATTGCCAAAGACTAAAAAAATAGGGACTCTTGAAATTAAAGTAGAATTAATAAGAGAGGAGGATGCCTCACTATTGCTTCTATATACACTATCTAACTAGGAACTATGTGGCGACGTTTTGTAAGACCTCCAACACTTGTCTAATTTGCAAGGCAAGTTTCCTACAAGTGCACCATATAGTCAACTTATTGGCCCAGTTTTTAATCTATCTATTACCTACATACATGTACAAAGTCAAATTCACATCTAGAAAGCTTTTATGAAGCTTTTCTACAAGATATTATACTAATTACTTACTTTCACTTAGTTCTATATACTCCTATCATCTAGATAATTACTAAAGTAAATAGGTATGTTTCTAACAAGCTTTATATTACATCTAAATTATAAAAAGTCATGTTTTGTCACGGACATACTCATGTAAGCTAATAATTACATATACAAATATGTGGAAGTAAGTAAAAGTAGATAAAAATAAGTTAATTATATAATATTTAATATAGAAGCTTCCTAGAAGTTTCAAAGATGCTCCTTTAACTTCATAGGTGTCTTTAATTGACTTTTTGGATTAGAAACGTGGTCAACAAGTTGGCCATGTGCCACACATGTTGTTAGCTTGAAGATCAAGCTAACTATGTAGCCCACACGTAGAAAAACTTGCCTTGTAGGTCAAGGCATGTGTCCTACAAAGTCAACACATATTGGAGGTCATATAGAACGTCGCCATGTAGCCCTTAGTTACATAATATATATAGAGACAAGAGTGAAGCCCTCTTCACTCTTGTCAACTCCTTTCTTACTTCTAGTCTAGTTTCAAGGGTCTCTAGTTTTCTTGTCTTTTAGCAATAGCCATTCCAGTTTCTCTTTCAATATACATACTTATTTATTTATATTTTGTTACCTTTCTTTGAGTGAAGGCTCACTTTTCTGAATTTCTTTTTTATCGAGTTCTTGTCCTTGATAGATTGTCAAGAATATACCTATAATATCAAAGCTTTGTCTAATCTTGATTAAGAGTGGGTTACCCCTTATTCTTGATAAGATATAAGCATATTAGAAGTTATGGATTACCCTCTTCTAAACTGATATTGTCCTTAGTATTTTCTTTGTTCTCAAGTCCTCTCTTCTATTTGTCTTGAGCGATATTAGACATCTTTTCTTTTCTAAGTGTTATCATGGCAGAACTTGTTGAAATGAAGAGTGCAATGGCACAAATGCAAGGGCAATTGAGAGAGTTAATGCTTGCGATGCATCAACTCAATTTACCACCACAAGGAGCAACAAGATTGGCAGGAAGTGAAGATATAGAAATGGTTGGAGCTGCTTCAACATTTGCACCAAATCATGTCCTTTCTCCTATGGTGGAACGCCCTTCAAATATTAGAGAACCAAGAATTACCATACTCGAGAAGTTTGATGGCACCAGATTCAAGTTTCGAGGATTTATCAATCTAGTGCAACTTGTGATTGAACTTCAATCCCAAAGCTATCCAACTCCAGGATTGCAAGTTAGATTCATTGGTATGCTTCTTTCAGGTTCAGCACTATCGTGGTTTACATCTTTTCTTGAACAACGAGATCCAATATTAGATAATCTAGAGGCTTTTTTGGCAGAGTTTTGATCCATGTATGGAGAACATGATGCAATTCGTGTTGCAACCAATAAGATCCATATTTTACGACATGGCAATCAATCAATAACGTTGTATGCTTCATAATTTTGACAACTTGCAATTGATATCAAGCGGGATGATGTTGGACTTATTAGCTAATTTCTCTATGGATTACAATATGAGGTAAAAAAATTAATGCTCAATTTACTTGATTCTCAAACATTAAGTCAAGCAATTGACTTTACAATGAAGTGTGACAATCGCCTTTTTGAATTCCTATCTGAGAACCGTACAAGTGGACCTCAACATTACTATAATTCAATGACAACACTTATACCTCTTCAACACATACATTCGAAAGTAGAGGATATGCAAATTGATGCAGTACGTTTCAAACTACTTATTGAGCAAGAAAAGACTCGTTGTCGTTAAGAAGGATTATGTTTATATTGTGGAGAATCAAAGCACACTACTCAACATTTTCCAAAGAAACGACGCAATCACAAAATGAAGAGTATGGCTGTGAAAGAAGACAATATGTCGGAAAACGAGTTTGTCTAGCTACAATAGGGACCGTGCAGCTGGAACCTTGCACAACATCTAGTCAAGGTCCTATTCTCTCCTCAGAGCCCTCTCCTTGTTTTACATTAAATGTTATTTTAGGACCTAAATATTACAAAGCCTCTACCTTGTTAGATTCAGGAGCCTCGGCGTATTTCTTAGATGAAGAATTTACTAAAAGACATAACATATCTTTAGTAAAGAAAACTAAATCTATTCATGTAGAAGTCATAGATGGTCGTCGATTGTCATCTGGGGATATTAATCACAAAACCCTTCCTATAGAAGTAATAATCAATGGTCATAATAGCTTTGTAGTATTTAATATCATTAGATCTCCCTTTAATCTAGTCATTTTAGATTTATCATGGTTAGAAAAATACAACCCTCAAATAGATTGGATTTCCCAAACTCTTACTTTTCCTAAAAGTATAACTAATAGTGTAATTAATCAAGTAGAGAGTCATAAGTCTAATTCAATTAAACCCGTATTTATAGGTGCAAAAGCTTTCTTGCATGCTGCTATAAAAGAATCACCATATATTATTTATGCTACACTTGTTTCTATTGGTGGAAAGACTTCAAGTGGCATTCCAAGCCAATATCAAGAATTTTAAGATGTATTCGAAAAAAAAAATGTGGATACACTCTCAAAACATCCTCCCTATGATTGCTCAATTAACCTTCAAGAAGGAGGACAACCGCCATTCGGACCAATCTACAGTTTATTACAAAATGAGTTGACTGAACTCAAAGAGTATATTGAAGAAAATCTAGCCAAGAATTTCATACGCCATTCTAAATCTCCGGCAAGAGCTTTAATTTTATTTGTGAAGAAAAAAGATAGATCATTGTGGATGTGTGTTGATTATTGAGAACTCAACAAGATTACTATCAAGAATAGGTATCCACTACCTTTAATATCTTAACTTCTTGATCAGCTGAATGAAGCTAAGATCTATACAAAAATAGATCTCCGGGGAGCATACAATCTAGTACGCATCAAAAAAGGAGAAGAATGGAAGACCGCGTTTCGAACTAGGTATGGACATTTTGAATACAATGTCATACCTTTTGGACTTACAAATGCACCAACAGCTTTTCAACATCTAATGAATGATGTTTTTCGAGAATTTTTGGACGATTTGGTGGTCTATTATCTAGACGACATCTTGATCTATTCTAAGAATTTAGAAGAACATGAACTTCATGTTCATCATGTGTTACAAAAATTAAGAGATGTGGGGCTTTATGCCAAGATAGAAAAGTGTGTATTCCACACTAATCAAGTCGATTTCTTAGGTTACATCATTTCAAATGATGGACTTATGATGGATCCTAAGAAAGTTCAAACTATTATAGATTGGAAGATCCCAAAAACGGTAAGAGATGTTCAATGTTTTTTGGGATTTGCCAACTACTATCGAATCTTCATCAAGGACTTCTCTCGAGTTGCAGTTCCACTTGAATGTTTGACTTGTAAAGACAAACTCCAATAGAATCAAGAAGCGGAAGTTGCTTTTAAAACTTTGAAGACAGCGTTTGTTTCTGCACCAATCTTATATCGTGTTGATTTTTCCAAAGCAATCTTTATTGAAACAAATGCATCAGACTTTGCTTTGACTGCGATTTTATCACAAATGGAAACAGATGACAAACTTCATCCAGTAGCCTTTCATTCAAAAAAATTCTCAATAGCAAAAATTAATTATGAGATCCGCAACAAAGAACTTCTTGCAATTGTGGATTCTTTTCAAGAATGGCGTCTTTATCTAGAAGGCGCTTCCAGTCTAGTCACCATGTATATAGATCACAAGAATCTCGAGTATTTTATGTCAGCACACGTATTAAATCATCGTCAAGCTTGTTGGAGCATGTCTTTATCAAGATTCGAATTCATCATCACTTATCGGTTAGGAAAACAACAAGGTTTGTCCGATGCTTTGTCTAAAC